TTTTTAATCTATTGTAATACTAAAATAACTGAAATAAACATTTTCACAACTCTTACTCCGTTTTTTATTTTATACTTTTATAGAACTTCAAAATTTTAATTATTTTAAGGTTAATGATTAAAAATTATTTATTCATATTTTAGAACATAAATACTAGATAAATACTTATATTTTCATATTAGAAAATGAAACATACTACATTTAAATCATATAAATAAGACAATAAAATTAAAAATTATATAAAATAATCATTTTGATTAATTTTCCATTAAGATAGAGTTATAAAATCTCAAACTAAAGTCACACATCGATCCTTCATTGTACAAGAAAAATTATTTGAAAATTTCTTTGATTAATGCTTTCTTCCCCAAGCACTTCACACATATAATTTAGGTCAAAATCGCACATATCAGATTCTTTATTCTTAATTGCATTTTGCCTAAAATAATTATGAAGTGCAGTAGTTGTAGCTACTATTTTCCTTTGTGTTGTGAATGAATAATTTTACATGTTAGACAATATTTTTCCAACACCCAATAGATCATTCTATATCATACACTTAAGATAGTACTAATAATTCATACCCAAACCAAGCTTACTCTGCAGGCACACCCTATATATGTATTTTCCTCCCTTCCAAAGATCTGTTTAATTTTCTTTGCATGACCGCATAGCCTCCTTTAGTGACTTTTGCCATCTTTTAAGGATAAATTCTATCAGAAGTATGTTTTCACCCAGTAGAAAGTTATTCATTTGACGAGTTCCATCACCTTCTCCTCTGGGTCAATGTCTTTGTTAAATTTCATTGGGTTCTTTCACATTCGTAGTGAACACACAACTGTATACCAAACCAATTTACATGCTTACTGTAATTTCCTTGAGTTCATTAACTTGTGGTGTTGCAAGAAGTGACATGAGAAAAATAAAGAAAAAGAACTTGAGGAATCAAGTGCAAAAAGTGATAATAACATTTCTCCTCTTAATTAACAAAAGTGCTGAAAGAAAAAAAAAAAAAAAAGAAGAAGGAAAAATAACATGAGAAATATGGTCATAACATTTGCCTAACACTTTTTTTTAAACATCATACTATGATTGAAAGGTGTTGTTATTTTGTAGGATAATGATTTACATACACTCTCCCGTGACACACCTCACCACACACTCATGGTTTCCGTTATGCATACTAACGGTTTCTGTAATGCACGTAATCGCTAAACTTCTCCATCTTCTTCAACTCTAGAAACTGTTAGGTTTCTTAATCTTGCTACCATTTATGTAAGAAGCAAACATCCAACCCAAAAAGTGTCACAAAGAAACTTTTCAATCTATTCAATTATTAAACCCTTACATAGCCCTTGAAGACTAGATTAAAGGAACCAACTTTAATTAGGCAAAGGGCTTGTAAAAAGGAAGACTCCAATCTTGAAGAGACATGTTTCTGGCGTGTAAAAGGGAAAAGTAAAGAAAATCCAAAAGGAATTAGACCGGTGGTAGGCAATCTTCCATAGAATAGAGAAGTAAAACCAGAATTCTCCAATCAGAGAGATGCCTGATTTTCAGGCCACACTTGTCTATTTTTTAAGTTGCCATAATTACCAACCAATTTATCCCAATTAACAATCAGTGAAGTTGTGCCAGCTAACAATCTTGGTTAATGATATACATAAGAAATTTTCTCATACGGAAACTGCTTCCATCCCCACCTTTGACCATGCCGCTTGCCGGGCTTTCTCTGCCTCGCATGGCCTTGGCATCCAAGCACTCGTAATTGAGGTTGAGATGCCGAGGTTGCCTTCACCAACAGCGTTGCCCACGGCACAAAGCCATCTTCCTCCCCAATTGTGCTCGGCAATCGTGTTGTTATAGCTGAAGTCCTTGAGAACGTGGGTTCTCCAGAGAAGCGAGATTTGGGTTTTCCAAGAGAACCCAGACCTAGGTTCTTCTTCAATAGATCAAGCACAGGGGAAGAGAAGGAAGAAGAAGGCAGAAGAGGGAAAGAAGAAGAAAGAGAAACGAGGAGGAGGGAACAGATCTACATATGGAGAACTCAAAAGCAAAGAGAGGGAGAAAGGAGGGCAAAGAGAGCAAGAGTGCTGGGTTGTTAGTAACGGAGAGAGACGGATTAAGTAACAGACACTGAATCGGTGTGACGGAGTGTGTAACGGAGGGGTAAACGTATCGTTGTCCTATTTTGTAATCAATCACAAAATCAACCAAGCAAATAATGTTTTAGTGCAATGGTGGAGGATGTGGCATTAATGCAAGAACAAGGCATGAGTCTA